TCTGCACTGGTAACATTGGTTAGCCGGGAGGTCAAGTCTGTTAGCTTGAGGTCTGCACTGATCACGTCCTTTTGTCAAAGGTCTCCACCAATCATGTTGGGGTCTTGTTTGGGTTCTTCCTCCTTGCCATGTACTGACTGCCATGTCTGGTCTTTGTTGCTGGGTCCCTTATTACAACTCGTCCCAGACGACTCTGCAGAGTCAAGCTGCGGCGGTTACCTGTCTGCTTTGGACTAGTGTCCAGCTGGCATTGTTGGTGGGACCGACTGGTTTGGGGTGTCCGATGTCAATACCATGTCTCTTGTGGAAGTATTACCGAGCACTGAGATGGCTCTCGGACAAAAATAACACCTGATTTGATGCCCTGACGTCCGTATAACAACATAATCGGTGTATCCAAATATAAATCTCAATATGAATTTTTTTCCTGCAAAATGAGTTGCACTATTTTAATATCCATCTATCCATCTTCCATAACTGCCTCTGGGGTCACAGTGACATATTGGTGTGCTAAATATTAAACATTATTTTTGAAGCAGATTGTCTCCAGCCTGCATTTCATTGGCTGAGCTCTCAGAATACCGTGATGACATTTCTGAAACTATTTAGTCCACATCATGCACTCCCCTCATACTGAGTACGGCTAGTGACGGTCAACTGATGCTTTTAAGCCATTAGCTGGAATCGAATCCACCAAACAAAATGTGAAACAGAGAACAATAAAAGGAAATATATATATATATATAAAACATGGCTATAGTTATTATACCCTGTGCTGCCTGGGATGGGCTCCAGCCCACCATGATACTGACAGGAACCCCTGTAAAGTACATAAAAATTGTTTTTAATAAGTTTAATAAGATGTGACTGGCGTGTTTTTCAGCCATCTGATCACGATACTTCAATTTGTAAAGATATTTGTAGGAATTCTTTAGTCTTCATATGTGGCTCGGGTGCCCAGTGGTGATATGATCACTCTGCCAGCCGTGTTGCTCGAACCCGGGACCTTCGGCTCACGGGCCACAGATCCGACATGAGCACAGGACTTGGCTGATGTTTTACGGCACGTGTCATCAGGTCTCCTAATGGACTGAGCTTGACCGTGAGGCCGTGAAGTCGTCTGTTTAAATGACGGCATTCTCCTGCTAAAAGTGGTAATGCCTTAACAGTGATATTTACTCAGATCTCCACATAAAGTCCCTAAAAACCAACTGTGATGCAGCGTTAGCTAAAGAAGAGAGTGTAAGTAAACAGTTATCAAGGAGAACCAAAGCTAATGTGCTAATGGCCCAATGCTCGTATATCTGGGTGCTTCATCTTGATGTTGAAGTGTACCATCTTTACAGGGCATCTTTACCCATGCCCTGAATCAGACACGGGACCGTGTGACTCACCTGGTGGAGGCTTCAGGATAAGCTGCTCCGACAGACCCTGATGGTATGATAACAGTCAGAGCACTCCGCTTGGCCAGCTTCCCCTCCGCTGGTCACATGAGTTTCATGTCGCACATTTTGGGTGGTTGTTGTCTGTACGGTACAGAGAGGAATTTCCTGACGTCTGACCGCAAGATTTTGCTGACACGTTGTGAAGCCGCCTTGATCCCAGCTAGATTAATAGAGGTTACTTTTCGCAAAGGCATTTTTAATAATTGTAATACCCGTTATTGTTTTGAGACCGACCCATGTGGCTGAACCTGTTACTCGTCACCTGGGGTTCACCTGCATTGATGCTGTACTTGTGGGTCCAGCTCTCTGAAGCCTGAATCTGCTGAGGTTTCATGGCACGTTGCTAGCTCACATGCAAACGCCCCTCTGTTTGCTCTCTGTGACAGATTACCCACAATTTGGTGAGGCTGGTGAGGCTGGTGAGGCGTTGGGGCTGTGCGGTCACTTGTGTATCGTTGTCCACACACAGCGCCCTCGTTCACCTTCGGCCCCACCGCACTGACCTCTTCTCTCACTATGACTTTCCTGGGCCAAACGAATATTCAGGCGGCTTTTCCATCTTTGACCCTAAGGTGGCATGACGTCACGGTCTGCGCTGACAATGGAGGCTTTGTGCATAATGATCATGCGTTTGCCCCAGCGCATGCCGGACATTTAAAACCGGGCGGCATGGAGACAGCCTGGCAGCGGGGTGGGTGGGACTCCTCAGGTGGACATCCAATCAGCTGTCTTCCCTATTTGCTGGGTGGGTGGGACTCCTCAGGTAGACATCCAATCAGCTGTCTTCCCTAGTTGCGGGGTGGGTGGGACTCCTCAGGTGGACATCCAATCGGCTGTCTTCCCTAGTTGCGGGGTGGGTGGGACTCCTCAGGTNGGGACTCCTCAGGTGGACATCCAATCGGCTGTCTTCCCTAGTTGCGGGGTGGGTGGGACTCCTCAGGTGGACATCCAATCGGCTGTCTTCCCTAGGTTTTGCTGGCACCCAGAGGCCTTCGAGTCTCAGGCGAGAATTCCTATCCCTGTGATCTAATGTGGAGTTTAGATAAACACCCTCCGCAGCCTCAGGATTATTTGTCAGGGTTTATAAATACCTCCCCGCCCCACCCTTTTTGGAAGCTGCTAGGGTGCTACAGGCATGGGTCCAGTGCAGTGCCGTATTGTGGCGGGCAGGAAGGCATGCCTGCGGAGCCTTCTGGAACGGCGGCCTGTGTGGCAGCCTGCGACCACCACTGCTTGGCTGCTTAGCTCTAATGCACAGCCACCGACACGGCGGGAGATCCTACTCAGCTGTTTCATTAGATTAGATTAACTTTATTGATCCCAGGTGGAAACACTGGTGCCTGCAACAGCAAGGTACACAGAGCACAGAAAAAAATACCATCCATCCATTTTTCATACTCAGGTTGCAGGGAGTCCGGAGCCTGTCCCAGCAGCAACAGGCACAAGGCAGGGAATAACCCGGGACGAGGCACCGACCCAGACCAACATACATGTAGCGCAAAACAAAGCGCAAAGACAGTAGACACAGTAGACAAGTAGGCATGGTGCAAACAAATTAAAAAGTACACAGTACAGAAATAGAGGTAAGGAGCATGCACTGAGGCATCGGCACGTCCACCACACGACAAACCACCTCAGGGATGAGAACCTGAGTGCAGCCGTTTTATTCCAGTGGCTGCAGTGCCAATCCTGCCACCAACCCCCAAGTTTTTCCCTGTAAGTAGTAGGACCTCCTTATAGGGCTGGATGTAGGTTAGCATCATACCCAGGATGAAGCAATGGCAGGGTAAGGGCCTTTGCTCAAGGGCCCAACTGAGTAGAATCACTCTAGGCATTTATGGGATTTGAACCAGCAACATTCCAGTTGCTGGCACAGATCCCTAGCCTAGAATCCTGAAAAAATCTATCAAGGGTACAGCAGTCCAGCAGCACCATATCATTGCTGCTGATATTAATTATTAATAGCAATAATATGTTTTTTAATATATACATTTTATTGTAATATGTCCACTGTGACTTTTCATAATACTACTAATAATTTGTCATTACTGTCGTTATTGTTATTAGTATGGTTAACGTGGTCCCAGTGCCGGCTCGTTTCATTGGCTGTCTTGCTGGCAGCCAATCAGTTCCGTCTCGTCATACTGGCCACTTGAATGGTGCCGGCTCCGATTCCTCCCATTGGCTGCCACGGCTCAGCCTGGTGACAAAGCCTAAGAGTGTCCCTGAGTAAGGGGTGTCACAAAGCGGGCTGTGTGAGAGGCCACGGCAGCCAGCACTGTACTCCCGGGGGGGGGGGGGCAAGGGCGTTTCAATAGGAGCTGGCTTCCTTATTGTACCCCCTGGACAATGAGCTGTTCTGCGCGGCCGGCTGCCGCCCGTGGCACTTGTACGGAAGGAGGGCCGACCTGAAGGACAGCGGCACTCGCTGTCGCTTCTTATTACTGTCCCTCCATCGCTTGCAGGCACCGCTGGGATCACAGGCTTTACATCGCCGCGGTGTCAGAAAGGGGAACCACTCGCTATGGGGACTCCCCAGCCTGTCTGTGGCCTGGGGGGGTGGGGTGCAAACAAGGGTGGAGGGGGTGGGGTGCAAACAAGGCGCTCACATGAGAGTAAATTACCACAGAGCATGACCCTCATGTGACTTTTGGAAATTTTTTGTTTTTATTTTTACACTCCTTCACCACCGATTTGGGTTACAGAGAGAT